TCCTTTTACAGTGACTTTGAGCCTACAACCACCCATAGTTTTTATTGGCTGATTGTTGTACGCTTTTAATGACATTGCCTTGTCTGTAACTCGTTTTGGTTTCTCTGCAAGAGCTTTCAGATCACTTTCATTGATCAGGTTGGCTTTGGCTCCGGTGTCGATTTTGAAGGTTACTAGTGTCCCGTTGACTAACAGAGGTGCAGTCCATTTGTCATCTTTTACTGCACGTACAGTATGCTCTGTGTCACTTGTATTTCGGGGCTGCACATAGTTTTTCTCACACGACACCATTTTGATGAAAAATGTCTCACTCAAATCATCACTGTCATCTGAGTCTTCCTGTACTGTGTGTATCTTTTTTCTGGTATGGCACATTTTCGCATAGTGATTTTGCTTTTTACACTTTGCACATGTTTTCCCAAATGCAGGGCATTGTCTCGGTCCGTGCGTCTCACCACACTTCTTACAGTCAAACTGTGTTTGATCGTCATCTCTATTTTTGTCTTTTTGTTTGAACTTAAACCGTGATTTTCTTTTCATTATCACTGCGTTCACGGACTCGCTTTCTTGATCATATGGCGCCGCTTGAAAAGTAAGTGCATGTTGCTTTGCTAGTTCGTTAGCTTGACATATTTTTATTGCACTTTCCAGTGTGAGATCCGCTTCCCTCAACAGCTTTTCTCTTAGCTTCTTTTCATTCGTCCCAAATACAACCTGATCTCTTATCATTGAGTTTTTTAGATCACCAAAGTTGCAGGACTGAGCTTTTATTTTGAGATCGGTGAGATAATTATCGAACGACTCACCAGGCTGTTGGAGACGAGAACGAAATACATATCTCTCATAAGTTTCATTTTTCTTTGAGAGACAGTGTTCGTCAAATTTCTTCAGGACCTCCTCAAACTTGTCTTTATCATCGGGTTGATCATATACAAACGTGTTGAAAAGTTCAATAGCCTCCGCTCCGGCAATGGTTAGCAAAAGGGCTATTTTTCTTTCGTCCGCCCGACGATCCACTCCGACTGCGGCAATGTAGAGCTGAAATTGCTGCTTGAAGGTTCGCCACTTCGCGTCCACATTCCCCGTCATTTTCAGCGGAGCTGGTGGTTTTACTGCGTCCATCTTGCATCAGTTCTTTTCTTGACCCGCGACCTGGTACCATGTAATGTTCTGCCTTCTGTTATTCAAGAAGTCACTCATGAACATTTGTGGTTGTAGCTTCTGTGAGCTGCAAGCTATTTATTGTTTTTATTAACAACGTGAACAACGTGGTCTCCTCTTGAACAGCGTATCTACAAGGCTATACTGCCACCTTGTGGTAACTCAATAGTATGCCTATCATTACACAGACCACTTCAGTTCAGACCAGTTCTGTGTTTAAGTCCAGATAATAGTTTGAGCGTAGATATGTAATCCTCCATTTGGAAATGAGTTTTAAAAAGTAAAACAAAACGCGTGTGTCCTCCGTAAACTACTCTGTTTTGCTAGGTGCAGCCGGGTGCATCCAATTTCTAAAATCAACCGTCTTACACTTCACCTCTCTTTCTTATCATTCCTATAGTCATTGAAAAATTACCGTAAGTGCATTTTAAATTATCTTAAAATGTGTTATATGTATGTTAGCCAAACTTGTTGCAGCCCTTAGCACAGGGGTGGCCAACCAGTCACAGACTAAGAGCCAATTTTTTTGCTGTGTTACAGCAAAGAGCCACATCATACAAATGTGCACTACATAAACATCACCCCAACCCTTACACACGCACGCACGCGCGTGCACACACACACACACCGCTGCTCAGACAGATTTATTGTAAATGTCATCAACATGATAATGACAGAAATTGACTCGTACAGTACTAAAGGGCTGGACTCGACTCTCCCCGGTTTGCGGGCGCTTCCACCGCTCGCTTTAACCGCTCCCCGGTACTTTTTATTAATGGTTTGGCCCTGGTTCTAACCGGGCGAGTTGATACCAGAACAATATCACGTCAGCGAACATCAATTATGATTCCGCAATGAAAAAAGCAAGTTTCAAACCAGTATTCAGCAGAAACACAACTGTCTTTATTGAACCATGATTCACTCTGACTGCGTTTAGCAAAAGATATAGATTTGACACATAACACCAACACCACTTTAGCTGATTCAGAACCACAGACACATGTTCAGTATAAGACCAGATAGTTTTGCATTTGATTGAAGACAGACACTCACCAGGCAGAGTTGGCTTATCTCCTGGTGTAACGCTAGCTGGTGCTAGCTGGTTTTAGCCGGTGTTAGCCGGTGTTAGCCGATGTCCGTAAATTTAATCCATTTGGTCAAACCACCTCCAGACTTTTCGGTTTTGCCTCTACTTCTGCTGCTGTGATCTTTCATTTCACGGTTGTCAGCTTTTTAACTTTTCTCTGCATTGTCATGTTCGTGGGAATCATTCTGCTCCGTCCTTAGCGCTAGCTCCACAAACACCTTCTGGTTTCTGGTGGAACCATCGAGCTCACGCTGGTGTCCTCTCTTCAAACTGAGGAAGGTGTTGCCCTCATCCAGCGACCAAGGAATTGTTTTCCGTACGGACGTCATGGGTCGAGGCAACGTGTTGTTTGTTATGATATTTGCAACAGCTGAGGCTGAAGAGTGATTGACAGCGCATCTGACCAATCAGAATTGACGTTCGCCGACGTCAGATTGTTTTGGCGGCCTGGCTAGTGGAGTGGAGTCCGCCTTTACTATGGGTCAGAACTACATAGAGAATGAAAGGCAGCGCCACCACCGAGGCGTTTTTGACGCTTGTCGTGTGAAAGCCCGAGAGCCGCACGGAACCAGCCAAAGAGCCGCATGCGGCTCACGAGCCGCGGGTTGGCCACCCCTGCCTTAGCAGATAAACCAGTAAGAGAAAGGAGCTTTCAGATGGAATTGTATGCAGCCGACTTCTGCGCTCACATGCGCTCCTCTGAGCCCTCACGGTGATAGAAGCTGTGGTTGAGCGCGACTAAGACCCATATTTATTTCAAAAACACAATTTATGACCATCCTCTCAACTGTAGACATGTGGATTGTAAAGGAAATATGTTTTACATCAGCCAATAATTGCTGAGAGGTTTTCTCATCCTCCCTTCTCTCATGACAACACGCGCACGAGTCCTATCATGAAGTAAAAAGATGATAACGGCGTTATAGTTACACTCAAAGTAATTAGTTAGATTACTCGTTACTGAAAAAAGTAACGGCGTTAGTAACGCCGTTATTCCCATCACTGGCGAGAGAAAGAGACAGAGACAGCACCAGAGTGGACGACACGGGACGGGCCAAGCACGACGCACCGCCAGCCAGAGACCGACGGGGGCACGGAGCCAAGCGGGGGGAGCCAGTGTGCCAACTCCTCAGTAAGGAAAGTACTATTGGCTGTCCCAAAAGTCGCTAGAAGTAGCTAAAAATGACGTCATCGCCAATTTGACATAATTTGCCATTTGCAAATACTGTAACGGACGCTGTAGGTGGAGAGGAATAAGGTCGTGGGAGAGACCAAAGTGAGTAAAAACACCCTAAAATGTTTAGACTACTAATGTACAAAAATAATTTCAACATTAACAACAGTAATGATTTAATGCTTTGTTTAGATCCACATACACACATCATTTTTGTCCGTATTGTTAAATGTTATAACAGCAAATGTAATCCAAAGATTGTTCTGTAGGGTGAAATTGGCTACTCTACAACCAACCCTCCTCCTTTATCCGGCTTGGGACCGCAAAGTGACCCCAAAAGACACACTCTGGCAGAGGTTACTTAGGTTTATTTTTGTAATTTTTGTTTTGTTTCATAGTTTGGCATAACAAAGATTTAATGTGACCCACCTACTGAGAGAAAACCAAGTCACGGACAGAGCTGCCGCGGATCGGAGTGGGGGTAGGGGGGTATGGGTGCGGGGGTAGGAGTGGCCGGGGAGATTTGGAGATGTGGGTGGTGGTGGAGCGGAAGTTCAGTCTGCAGCAGCCTGAAAACTTCCTGTGCTTTTGAGTCTCCATCTCTCTCTCTCTGCTCCGCCATAGACCGGTAGCTGGGACTGGCGCGCAAGGCTACTGTGAACTGGCCGCGCTGTAAGTGCTTTGGACGGGGAGGGGCTCACGTTGAAGGACACTGAAATACGTGCTTCACATCTCCAAACACCAGATAAGTCGCCTAAACACCAGATATAGTCGCCAAAACACCAGATAAGTCGCCAATAACACCAAAAAGTCCTAGATTTGTCGCTAGTTTTCCCCCCCCCCCCCTTTTTGAAAAAAAGTCGCGATAGGGGTCTGAAAATCGCTAAATCTTGCGACAAAGGCGCTAAGTTGGCAACACTGGGGGAGCGGCACCGGTGAGGGGGCCGTAATGACAGTCGCAGAAGGCGTGTGCGCGCCCATGCTAGGCCCATTGATGACCGGATGTGCCGGCTCTCCCCCGCGGGGTGGCCCGGTGAGACCCGGGGTCGCGAGGGCTGCGGGACGCGGCCTTGGTCCCGGGGAGAAGAGCGGAATCCTCGTGAGGACGACGAGCGACAGCGGTTTTTATCATCTTTTTTAATGGACCTTTTTGTAAAATATTTTATTAAATTGATTCCCTTTTACCCCCTTCTGCATTTTATTGATCACACCCCCTCAACAACTCTTAAACCTTGACACACACACTCTAAGCATCAAAAATAAATATATTGTATATTTCTTATCACTAGGAAGTATTCAATAATCACATATTCATATAGTTTGTATGTAAGTAAGGTTTTTTTATTAATAGAGCATTTTACAGAACTAGGTCACCCACAGCGGCTTACAATGGTTTCAGAGTTCAAATATATATAGTAATTACGTTAAACATACAAGACACCAACAACATAACACAAGGCAAGACGCTCCGTTCGGAGTTCGTTCGAAAAGTCCAGAATTAATACTGTTCATGGTTTTGGATTTGATTATATTCCAAGTTGTGGGCTCAAGTGAGTTGAAATTTCGCAGTTCGATTTCCTACACATTGTGTTTGAATGTCAGTGGGTAGATCTCCATCTGGAGATGGAAGTCAGAGGTAGAGGTGGGGATGGGTGGAAGAAAATTAACCTGACCTAAAAGGGCAGAGCATGCATTACTGAGTACATTGCCCATTTTCTAAACACAAAATAAAAAAGTCTAAATTAAGTAATTCCTGTGAAAACAGTTACATCTAACCATATAACTCCTAAGTGCACGTGTAAATCTATTCAGGGAATATTCATTCAATATTCAGCTTTCATAGTATTGCCAACACAAATCATGGCCAATTCTGTTTAACCAGGCCTATTCGAAATCACATTGCGATGTAGTACTGATTCTACAAAGAACTTAACTGATCAAAACCGGGTCAACCTAAAATACGTTGAAGCGCCGTTTCAACATTCAAATCAAACAAGTTCAATCCGTTTCCACATTATCCCATTATTATTTTCTAGGAAAAAGGGTTCCATACCGAAGTGAAGCTAAAATATTAGCGCTCACTAACCTCATTCTCATGGCGGTAGCGACCAACCCTGCCGCTCCTTTAAACAAACAATATAACGTAGAAAGGTCGCTATTAAATCATAATGTCATAATTGAAGAGGGCCGAGTAGTCACCAATTAGGCTTTTGTCGGATCGCTAACGCGGCATCAACGCAATTTCTCCAGAAACAAAAATTTTCTAAAAACTTGCACGGTTTTGAGATGCACAGGCTGGATGCCTCAAACACTGAGCAAAATAAGCTAATAGCAGCAGGCCAGCGGAAACACCGGTCGCGCAGGAAGTAGTTTCAAATTAAAAAGGTGTCCATAATAAGATGGCTTAGGTACAGCTGGTACATAACTAATTAAGTAAAATGACTGCGAGCCAGAGTTTTACAGTTTGACGTTGTTTCACGAAGTTTTTTAACACGGGGCATAATGTCCATTCGTATATTAAGTGACGAAAAGTTGGCTGGCTGACCTTGTGAACTTTGGTTGTGAGCTCAAAGCATTCATGTCTGTTCCAAGAGTATCATATACAATTGCTTGCTACATGGCTGCAATGAACCATTGTGTTTTTTTAATGAATCCATTTGTTCAGTACCAGAAAGGCAATAATATGAGCTTTTTATACATTTGACCAAAAAAAGCACAAAGGACATCGTCATAGTAGATGACTTGTTACACATGGGGTTGCTTGGATTAAAAAACACATCATCAATAACTTGGTTTGGGTTGCAGTCTCATAAAACATTTCTTGGCATGTTAAAGAAAGGTTAAAAAAGGATTTGATTGATTCATTAATAAAAGTTGATAGATAAAGGAGCAATATTAAAAATCTGGCCAAAAGTGGTACGCAGTCACAGTCAATATATGTAGTCCTCTCCCACTCTCCCGACATCAGTTGCCAGATTCACACCCCAAATCCAGCAGCAAACACAGGGAATTGTGTTATCAGTTGTTTGTCCCGTCCTCCATTCACATTGCCATGACAGCCGGGCTAAATGCTGAATGAATGTTTTTGATTATGTTTTTATATTAATTATTATTTGGACATTTGAGGATAAAAAAAAACAAAAACAAAATAAAAGCAATGTAATTATACATAGTTATGCAAAATAAATAAGCAATGGATGTCCAAAATAGGAGTGGGAAGAATGGATGTTAGGAACGTATTTCTTCAGCGTATCAAACATCAGGGTTGCTCAAGAGGATATCACCTTTTCAATTCTAATTTATTCCCTATTTTTTTAGACCAAACATGTAAAAGTCCCACATCAAAAAGAGACTAACATTATTTGAATTGGGGTACATGTGGTCTTAAATGATTATTTTACAATTTAAGCTATAATCTGCATAAAAAACGTCTTGACCTTCATCTTTACCGTTTTTTAGAGCAATCGTCATGAGAATGTGATAACAGGCATATAGACAAAAAGACATAGCCCAGGAGCGAAACCCGTTCTGCATCGTAAGCGCACAGCTTAGACCGCTAGGCCATCGATCTCACACGAACAATATAACACTGTGAAGAACGGACTCAAACTAGAAAATTCTGCATCACACGGAACGTTTATCAGCTGTCGCTATTGTTCATAGGTCATCACGATAGAATCCGCGATTCTAGTCTTTTTTTGTCATTAATGATTTTAGAGTCATAACAAGACCTTTTAGTTCTGCGCCACATGTTTTTTTACCACTGAGATTAGTGAGCCGCACGGAGTTCTGCAACCCATCACGGACTTACCTAACACATCCTGATTGGCGAAACGGCGGAAGGGTAGGACATCAAAATCAAAACAATATACAACTTCTAAGGTCGTAAAACTAATTTTGATAATGCAAATATCACGGGTGAACTACTGTTATCAGTTAAAGTATGAATTCGAAAAGAGTATGTATTTAATAACGCCTTTGAAATATTCGGGGCATTCAATGATGACTTTACAGCAAATATTTTACATAATTCTCCTTTAATATTATTGAATTAATGCAAATGTTGTCTTAGAAGTAAACTGCTTCTATCTATGTCACATCGGATATATTTGAGTGTTTGGTAGGATAAGGTTCTTGTAAGTTCCAGGGGAACAGGTGGACATGTCTGAAATGAGAGATGTTGGGACTGTGAGGCTAATGGCAAAGACATGCTGAAATCGATCGTGTTGGAGCTGTTATTTACAACCTTTATACTATTATAAATATATAATAAGTACTCTCTCATCTGTCCAACGCCTACTTCAATAGATCTGGCGTCACTGAAGAGGTCGAATCTGCAGGCAACTCTGAACGTGGAGTATTTTCTGTTGGAATGGGATGACAATAAGATGCATGAAAATGGGGTATTGAACCTGCACACTGGACAGTAAAGCCCGATCTCTTCCCTATATTATCACCAAAAATGGTTTCTATCCCAGAGTTATGATGTTTTCACATAAAGCACCACAAAATCTGCATGTAAAATAAAAGAAAACAAAAAATAATACATTCGGAAAAGCAGATTTGAATAAATCCTTTTGCTCACTCACACATCCTTCAATCCCTCTCCTGCCCATTCTCTAAAACTTAATGTATTTTGACACGTTTATTTTGAAATCAATTCAAAATATAGGTAATAGCCAACAATCTATTTTGGCAATAATCAATATAATTTATTTACACATAATTGTTTACTTTGAACAACCCACTTAGGAGAGACTATACAGGGATCAAGAGTTCCAGCTTCCGGCTCGACCGCACGGCATGTGTGGTAGTATTCTCACAAAGTGGGCAATAAAACTCACGCTCTCCTATTAGATTACCTGTTGCGAGCGTGATCCGTCTCTCGTTTTTCCACCCAGCGATTGTTTTAATTGCTACAAAAATCACCATTTCAACATTTAAGAAGGTGGAGGTAAAGAGTTTTCATATTATGAAAAAGCCAAGGCATTTATTTTTCTGTGGTGTTAGATGTAAACACAGCCGACTGACTATAGAGCTACATGGTACTTATGCACTTACGGGATTGAATGCTACACGCGAGCTTATAAACTTACCCAAAGCTGTACTTTGGACATCTTTCTGGTGTGGAGCTTCCTGAATGTAGAAAGCCAAATACCTGGGGGCTACGTAATCAGAGTGGACCTCGTGATATGACATTTCAGAGCAGTACTGTAACTGTAATGGCCAGCTAACACTTAAGCACCGGAATTTCATACATGTGTACTGACAAAGTGAAAATAACTTTGTTTAAAGCCTACTGCACACCTGGCTTTGGGGCTAGTTTTTCAGTATGGCCACTCAGGTGGGAGGTAATAAGCTCCCGACACTCAACTCTGACCTTAGCAGAGAAGCACACCACTCGTCTCTAGTGTCTTGCCCTTGTCCAGGTAATGTCCACCACTCAGGCACTGTCACATTTTGCCCTTTTGGTCACTTTTGGTAGCTTTTAATTATCAATGCACTCGCTGTGCTGGAGGAAGCTACGGCGTGCCCCAGTAGGAGAGGGGATATACGCAGACCTCCAGATTACAGGCTCCCTGCATTCGCATATTCTGCTGGTTAGCTTGGCTAACCGATGGTCAGATCACCCCATCTCCGCCCCTAAATTCCCTCCACTGCATTGATAAGCAAACCTGCACTTTTATACCATTTTATTATAACTCTTAACATTTTAAACCTTTTTAATAAAACTATCATTTTAACACTTCCTCAGGCACCTTTGTCCACCCTAAACTGGGTTGGTCACACGAAACCCGGGCGTTACACTTATTACACAGACAATTGTAGTAGAATCTGTACTTTATATTGAAAACTAATTGATTCAGCTTGGGTATGAAGTCAGGCCGTAAACAAATGGCTAGTAGAGACTGGGCGTGACGCTCGTCGCCACCACTCACAGAACGTGCTGCGTCCTCTAGCCTCTGCTAAAAACAGTAGCTTTCCACTTTTTGCTGTTACTTACGGTATAGGTGGAACAGAAAGCCGTGGGGATGAGCAAAAGGCAATGTTTAAAATTGATCATCATTCATGAATGAATGAATGAGTGACAAGGTGTAGGTGATAAGTAGTTTTCAAAACTTAATTTGTTTGATTTTTTTATCCCCTCAATCCCCCCGTTCGTCGTTTCCCGTAGTATTAGCTTAAAAGGCACCACTTTACCGCAGCCAGTTTTTCACTGTTTCTTTTCTGATAGATAAGAAAAAAGACTTAAACTGTCTAGGGTTGTGGTACAAATTTATAATCCCGAGGCGTTCAGAGATTCTAATGATATTCGATATTATCTATAATGTCTCCCACCGTTACTAGGTGATTGTGCTTTTAGTGTCTTTTAGCAAACAACGTGCCTCTGCTGTTTTTGCTAAAGCTTAAGGTGTTTGGAGGCGCAACAAATAATACCTGCTTAAAATGAAACGAGGTAACATCCACAGCAAAAAACCCTGAGGGAGAAAAGTCACAAGTCCAGAGTAGGCCATTGGTGCAAAGGACGGCGGCGAGGGAACATCCCGAGAGGTCAGCGAAGATCATTGAGGCGAGCCACAAGAAATGCCCTCCACCTCGCTAAGGTGAAGCCCGCCAACCCATCACTCCCGAACCCAACTCTACCAGCTGAGCGTCAGGTGACACACCCGTAGAGTACACACCGTAGAGTACTCGCCATAGAGTACACCCGTAGAGTACACACCGTAGAGTACACACCGTAAGTACTGTGTGAAGTCATCACATCTTAACCATCATTTAAACTCATCCCCGCAACTTCTGTATCGATGTTATTCATACCCATTGGGATGGGGGAAAAATCACTGATATCAAAAACTGAACAAGCTTCATATCGCTAATGCTCCCTACAAAGGGTTAACCTCATTCAAATATTTCACTTCTTTTGAAATGAAAAGTTATTAGAGTTTTGAACGTTGCTTGTGTAATATTAAAAATCGCAGCCGTTGAGTTTTTCCAGAAGCATTTTTTATATATGGGAAACGTCTGGACAGACCGAAAAAAATGCGTTAACTCCCTTCACCCTCTTCCTGTTTCTCTCGAGTGCGCGCAACTGATTTAAAGGGCTGCCTATGCACGCCAGGTGTGTAGATTGGAGGACGGAGTCAGCAAAGGATGGGTGTAAGGATGCTCACAGCCCCCCCAAAACGCTAGTTCTATTTCTTCCTTCCTGACCGCCAGAGGCGAGCTAAGCACTGGATGATCATCTCGACGAGCATGCACAGATCGAGAGTCCAAATAACACAAAGTCCCCACCCGTGACCTCCGGTAGCGCACCGGCAAGAGTCTATAAAGCTTCGTGACACCGAAGCGACAGGCCCCATTTCACTTTCTCGCATGCAGGTTGTATGAGTCTGGCTGAAGCTAACTGATACGTGGTGCTGTTGGTCGCGCCGCTTCTGCCATGTAGCCCCGTGACTGCCCGTCGTCGGTGCTGCGAGTTTCCGCCCTCCGGGCGGGCTGCGGCAAGCCGCGCGCTTGCCTCTGGTGATGACTTGGTTTGCTTATTCGCCGTGACTTGTGCTCGGTTTGTTTTTCGTACTCTCTGATAAGTGGGGGGTGACTAGTGCGTTTCTGCTTCGACACACCCTGATATCTGGCTGTTAACCTGCCGCTGATCACGTGGTTATGTGGGGGGGGGGGGGGGTGGGTGGGGGGGGGTTTACCGGTGGCGTTCTGCTCGACCGGAACCTGTGGCTTTTAATTACATTAGTTTAATTATTTGTTAATTCTTCGTCCACTGTGGCGTTCTGCACGACTGACCCTTTTGTATTGGCGTTGCCTGCGCGTGTTCCTACAGTTCGCGGTTGAAAGTGCTCTCTGCGCGCACTACCCCTGCTATATTAGTTTGTTCCCCTGCACGTGTACGGCGTTCGGTTGTCAACTAGTGCGTCTCTGCTCGACCGGACCCTGCTGTATTGGTTGTTCCCGGCACGTGTACGCGTTCGTGGGCACTAGTGGCGTCTCTGCTCGACCTACCCGCCTATATTGGTTGTTCCCTGAACCTTGAGCATTCGGTGGTCACTAGTGGCGTCTCTCTCGACCTGACACCTACGGTAGTGCCCCTGGTACTCGGCGGCGACTGCTCCCGGCGCGTTCGCTCGCCTGGAGGCGTGAGCGTTGGCCTGCCAGTACTTCTGGCCCCATGCAGCTACGATGGCCATGTGCTGGTCCCCCTGTCTGGTGTGGACCATCTGCGGGAGGCGCTAAACCGAGCGTGCATGTCCCCGATTGTGCGTAAATGCCCTGGCCGGTGCACGGGGGCCCGCACTGTCGGCCCTGGACGGACATTTCAGTGCGATTCTGGGACTGTGAGTCTGCCCTTTGGTTGACCGACCCCCTGGTCCAAAAAGTGAGGCGCCCGGGTGATACACTCCGCGAAGAAGTCTAAGTCCTCTGGTCGCGGTTCTGACTTCAAGGTCGATGCCGCTCTCTGTGGTGGTGCTCATTGCGGACCCTTCTTCATGACCTTCCGGCTGGTACTGGCCAGTCAGTGCCCGACCGGTCTCGTCCCTTGTCGTGTGCGATGAAGGATATGCCTCTCTCGGTGGCGCATCTGACACACAATTTCGGCCGGGCTCTGATGTTCTAGCTCCAGGCTCTCGGAGTCTGTTCCGGTGGGTTCGTCGGGCACTGTCGGTTTTCCCGATGAGCCTACTGCCGGCGATCGGGAGGCTCTGGCGCATTGGAAGTCTGGAATGTGCCTCGGTGCGATGCGGGGCCCTCGAGGCCTTCTTTCGCCGCCAGTCCTGCGTCCTCTGGGTTTCCTGTTCCTCCTTCGGTGGATTAGTAAGGAGCTAACATGCCTGTGTCGACTGACACGCGGGGTTTTTTTCTAGGCCCAATTCCGACGGTCGGGCCCTGGCGTCTTTGAAGCGCCTGACTAGTTGGCCTTGGGGCATATCCGGCGGTGAAGCCTGCCATTGCCTCCTTGATCGTACACCCTGAAGAGGCTCCTGCGCACTAATGCCCCGTGCCCTCGCCGCAGTGTCGGGCCACAGAGACCTCGCTTCCAGGCCTTATGACATGGTGCCCCGCAGGTCCGCATTGGGACTCCCTGTCTCATCCTGCTGTGGGGGGCTGTCCGCCACCCCCCCCCTTCGCTGGAGGCTGTCCGTTGGACCATCCACGCCGGGGATGGTGGATGCTTGCTCTTGCAGCTTTCTGCCCTTCATGTCTAGGAACTGGGGCGGCTCCTCTCTACCTGGTTCAGACTCGCCGCCAGTGTGGTTGGCGCAGTCCCCTCTTTCTCCGAGCCAGCCGCAGAGTGGTTTGAGGAGCGTTTCTGTGCTCCCTGGAGAGCTGTTTGGCTCGGCTGCCATTGCGCTCGGAGCGCACGGGTCCTGCCACTCAACCCGCAGCAGTTGGTGGGATGCACAGGCATCCCTCGCGGGCGTCCGCTTCTGCTGCCCTGTGCGCGGCGTGTGGCCCCGCCCCAGAGGTTTTTCTGTGCCCCGGGCGGTGGATGGGCCTCGGCTCTGGGCTTCAGGCGCGGAAATGTTACCCCCGGCTCAGGCTCCACTGCGGCCCAGTCGTCGCCCCCAGCCAGGCCCGCTAAAGGCCGGGTGCCCTCCGGGTTTGCCAATTAACCTATATTAAGCCTGGATTTCGAACACGTCTGTCATATTTTTTTGACAAAACTGTCCTTATCCATCCGTACACTCCGTTCAATCATCATTTCCTGCATGTAACGTCTGGGTCTGGTCCCTGTGTTAGCGATTACAATTGGTTGAATTTCGACCGACCAATCAGAGAGCGCGGAAGGCAGGTGTTGTAGTTAGTTGTGGGTGACGTCAAGAGTTTGCGTCGAACGGGAAGGTTGTAGTTTGGTAAAGGCGAAGAATGCGATAGTAAAGTAATCCGTTCTGGTTCTATCAAGAAATTGAAGCCGGAGCAATAGGAATGTTTAGCAAATGTAATCGCTGGAAAAAATAGTGGCGCTACTCCCCACGGGCTCCGTTAGCGGCAAAGGAGATGGCTAGGCTAAATGCTAAAAGCTAACAACAGACTCGGGCGCATTACATACGTCACGGTAAACTCAGATCTAATGGTTTCAATCTGCAAAAGGAGTTAACCCCTCCCACCTGTAAACGGAGTCAATGGAGCACCTCCAGACCTTAGTACGAAATGCAATTTGTACTATGGTGTGGTACGACCAGGCTACGGTAGAGCATGAACTGATATATTGTAATAGGTATGCAAGGTCCAGACAAACGATTTATGCAACCTGCGCAGAAAAGGGTGTATGTTTTGGGTGTATAATCCAAACACGCAAGATCCAATGTGGGATTTGTGTGTGTGAGATCCGCCCAGATCTGAGCGTAAATACCTGCTGCTGTTGATGAATGTGGCGGCTGAAAACAAGCGTATTTATGAAAGTCACGTCTTTAAATATTGAGGACCCACCTGTTTCACGCTAGCCTGGTCGTACCACACCATAGTACAAATTACATTTCGTACTAAGGTCTGGATTTGCTTCATTGAGCTCCATTAACAGGTGGGAGGGGTTAACTCCTTTTGCAGATTGAAACGATTGGATCTGAGTTTACCGTCACGTATATAATGTGCAGAGTGAGTGAGGTATTTAGCATTTAACCTAGCTTTAGCCATCTAAACATTGCCGCTAACAGAGCCCATGGGGAGAAGCGCCACAATCTTTGCCAGCGATTACATTTGCTAAACATTCCTCTTGCTCCGGCTTCAATTTCTTGATAGAACCAGACCGGATTACTTTACTATCGCATTCTCAAACTACAAGCAGAACATTTGTTTGGCAAATTCTTGACGTCACCCACATCTACCTGCAACACCCGCCTCCCACGCTCGCTGATTGGTCGGATAGAATTCAACCGATGTATTTGCAGACACATGGGACTAGACCCAGACGTTACATGAAGTTAAGAATCCGGATGGATAAGACCAGGCTAGTTTCACGCCTGTTTCTCATAATTACATTTTGCATGTTTGAACGGTTTGATTCTCTGATCTGTGTTGGCCAATTCGTCACCCTCGGAGATAACTACTGTTGTGATTTAGGGCTACACCAAAATACATTGAATTGAATAGATCTATAGTGACGGGGACTGGTTTGAGTGTTGTGTGGTCACCTTGGTCTGGAGTCCCGTTCGGAAGCCGCTTGCTCCAAACAAAGGAAGGATCTGAGTCCATTTCCACAATCTCAAAGGTCGCTGTGTCAAACGTGAACAAAGTTTTGTACTGCAGAAGAGAGATTTTTGTGTAAATACAGACACATTCAAAACACAAACAATAAAATAATGTATAATAATGAATGACTTTACTTTGTTTTCCAATGTGGTGTAAATGATGTAAAAAGTCACATCTCTGTCCCCTTGTGGATCGAGCCGGTAAGTTCCAGCGGTTCCTGTAAAATCATCAACATACCGAGACGTGACATGGTTTGAATACAGCACAGGCATCAATACATTTTAACTTCATCATCTGTGGTTCCAAACATGCGGACCGCGGGTCATTTGCGGCCCATGAAAAGCAGTTTGTGGCCCCCTAGTGGACATAAAATTTCAATGAGAGACTCTGCGAATATGACATTGTTTTAAAGCTAATTTCATAAAGAAAACAACCACACTATCAATATTATTATAAACGTTGACCCCTGAAGGCAAAAATGAATAATTCAATGTCATTATTACTAAACCCAGTCGACAACACTGAGACTTATGGCTTTTTGACCAGTTTTGTTTCAATCCCAGCAGCTGAACTCAGTTTGTTCATAGAAATATATTAAAAATGTATCAAACTCATGTTCAATAGAAGTAATTATTTGGTCAAAACAGCTTCAGGATTATAAAAAGTCACAGATACAAACAGTGAACCATAAAATCTTCCACAAATGCACAAGCTTCTTCTGATTGGTGAAACGATGGAGGGCGGGACATCATAATGAAAACAATAGATTCAGGGGTTTAAAACTAATATTGAAATCCAAACATCTCTGAACTGCTGTTATCAGTTAGAGAAGTATTGGAAAATGTAAAGATGACTTAAAATACAAATCTTACAAATTGCTACTTGAAATAAAAGTTAAAGAAAATAATACTTTGAAATGAAGTGTACCGTTAAAAGATGTGTTTCTAAAGAGGCTGGCGGCGATAAATGGGTCGACACGTCTCTCTAGTTGACGATCTTTGACGATCTTTCGCACCACTTCACCGATGAACAACACAGCGTCGTGGTAAGCAGCCATGTAGTCGTTCATCTGGGTTTGGGAACATCAGAATTCAAATATTGTACAGAAATCAAAAGTACTCATCTAGAATATATCAGGCTGTTGCTTATTATTGCTATTGTTAGCTTTTTAGAATGATTATTTTTTGCCACTACTGGACACCTAAATTTCTAAATCTATCTATGTATCTATCTATCTATCTACTGTATGTATGTATGTATCTATCTATCTACTGTATGTATGTATGTATCTATCTATCTACTGTATGTATGTATGTATCTATCTATCTACTGTATGTATGTATGTATGTATCTATCTACTGTATCTATCTATCTGCCCGCCCGTTTCTGGACAGCAACAAAAAATCTTGAAAATACTGTACGTGTGATGTATGTAGAGTCAGATTAGTGCCACCAATATACTTTTCTAATACAGTTTTTCTCAGTCGCTTTGGTGCATTTCTCATTCTTCACATTTCCACAAATGTTGGTGCATTTCTCAGAACAATTAGTGCAAACTGCAGAACCTGGTGGATAACATGCAAAAGTGCATCACTTTCTCAAAATGAAAAGTTTTTTCCTCAAAAGCAAATCCAAACGTCAATGAAACTGTCTGTGTCTCAAAATAATAAGTCCTGACAACATTGAGTATGAACAGCAGTCAAATGACTTTCATTGTGAAAGTTTACTCTCTGTGTTTTCAGTTTTAAAAAGTCAGATCTCGGAGACACTTGAGCCCGACCATGAGCTCATTATACACGACCTGTGCAGCCATTTACAATAAAAACTACAGTAAAGTTACACAAAGACTGTATTTAGAGACGTAACTGACATTCTGTAACATATATGTATATGTGTATGTATGTATGTATGTATGTATGTATGTATGTATGTGTGTGTGTGTGTGTGTGTGTGTGTGTGTGTGTGTGTGTGTGTGTGTGTGTGTGTGTGTGTGTGTGTGTGTGTGTGTGTGTGTGTGTGTGTGTGTGTGTGTGTGTGTGTGTGTGTGTGTGTGTGTGTGTGTGTGTGTGTGTGTGTGTGTGTGTATATATGTACTGTATGTATGTGTGTATATGTATGTATATGTGTGTATGTGTATGTACGTGTGTGTATGTATGTATGTATGTATGTATGTATGTATGTATGTATGTACAGTATGTATGTATGTATGTATGTATGTATTTGTATTTTTGTTGCACAATGCTGTAGAAATGCAGGTACATACATGTATTTACATGTAAATACATAGAACAAACGTACAAGAAATATCATTATATTTGTGGCACGAGGTGTGTTTTAATGTAAACAATAAAACACACCTCATGAGTGAAGCTGAAACTCACCTCAGAGACATTGTTCAATTTAGGAAAGATTTACAGGAAAAGAAAGATGAAGGAATGTATGAAATTAGCTCGACAGTTATGATTTTGAACTAGTTCAACAGTTTTGTTTGTGACTAAAGCGATGACATGAGGACTCTTGGTTTTATAGTGAAAGACTATTCAGAAGTGATAAGTGTGTTTCATTCTGACTGACAGGACAGAAGCAAATGATAAGGTTAAAAAACAACAGAGAATTGTATGAAAGTTATTGATACATGAACGAAAGCATTTGAAATGTGTTCAGAGGAGAAACTGCTGCGATGATGTCACCAATGACCCAATATTGTGGAGGTTGAACTAATAGTTTTGAGAACTTTAAGTCTGAGAAATGCACCAAAGCGACTGAGAAAAACTGTAATACCATGTTTTGTCTGTTCGAGTCTCTCCAGACTGATGTAGCTTTAGGGACCAATGTATAGGCCTGTAAAACACTCTAGGACAAACAACTGTATATTTATAATGTAAATTAGCAGGTTAGGAGCAGAATGAATTGATAAAGTGAGAAGTGGAGACTTGTTGTACTGTATTGCACATGATCACAGTATTCACAGTTTAGAGTGAAATATACAGAGTCAGAAGTCCTCACCAGACCAGTACTTATCAAACAATATTACTAGAAACGTTTTGTATTATAAAAACATAAATCTGAGTGACTGAATTTTCTGATCTAGAGACGTGACAGAGGTCAAGAAAACATGCAGGTATATAAAAAAAATGGGTAGAAACTTGTTGGATTTATTTTGCGGTTTCAAAGTTGGACACAGCTTTAATGATTACAGTTCAACAGATCCTTATCAAAAAGATTGAATGTTTTTTGGACTGAATGTAGTCTCTAGTCTCTTTATCCAGTCTCGAGACCACAGCCCTCTGCAGACTCAGACCCTGAAATAAACGGACTCGCCCTGCACTACATCAATAGAACAATAATAATATCATAATTATCTTAAGCATTGGAAAGTGTGCGTTTGACCTTGTTTTCCGGATCCGTGCTTATGTTGTAGTTCCTCTGGTTGGGCATGGTCAGGACGAGCACGTTCCTCATATGTGGCATTGAGGTGGTGTTATGGTAATATTCATCACTGCAGAAACACAACGGGAAGAATTGTAGCCACTGTAACACCATGAGACAAACATACAGTGCAGCAAAAGGCACCACTGGGAAGCATGGGGGTGGAAACATGATGGTTTGGGGCTGGTTTGGGGATTGGATGCCTGTATTAAGGAACGGATGAATCAGGACATTTATTGTGAGATTTTGGGGGAAAAAAATCTTCAGCCAGTGACAGAATTGAAGATGAAACAGGGTTCGGTCGTCCACATCACAAAGATCCAATTTCTAAATCTGAGGACGCAGTTGGAAGTCTGTTTTGCCCAGCCCCAAAACTTCAAATGCTTAAAGAAGATCTTAAAGCATGGGTCAAAATACCAGGTGTAGTGTGTGCAAACCTGGTGATAAACTATGGGAAATGCCAACTCTGTCATTAGCACTATTCGCAAAGGATTAGATTGACCTGTGGACTTTTGCTGATTTGTGAGATTTGCGGAGAATGTCTGAGATCTTAGCCCGGTCTAAGACATCCTTAAACTCCGGTCAATTATTATTTCCTACATGTACCGGGTCTGGGTCTGATCCTAGTGGCGGCAGTTTTCTCGGTTGAATCCCCTCTGACCAATCAGAGAGCGGGGGAGGCGGGAGTTGTAGGTTGGTGTCGTTGACGTAAAAAGTCTGTGCTGAATTTGCTGATTGTAGTTTGGCAGAGAATGTGATAGTAAAATAATCTGTTCTGGTTTGGCTCCAAATATGAAGCCGGAGCAAGAGTCAAATTGAGAAAATGTCATTGCTGGCAAAAATGTTGTGGCTCTACTCTCCAAGGACTTTGTTAGAGGTAAAGGCAATGGCTAAAGCTAGGCTAAATGCTAAAGCTAGGCTAAATGCTAAACCCCTCCCACCTGTTAACGGAGTCAATGGAGCAAATTCAGACTTAAAGAAGCTGTGAGATTTCATAACACTTTTAAGCAACTTTTGTTAAAGTTAAACTCATCATTCTATCAATGTGCAGAAGCCAGTACTTTTCCCTTGTTTTGTCTATCTGAAGGCCAAGCTACATGGCACCGTGGAAGCTGCTGATTGGAGGTCTCCATGCCTCCGCTCTGTATAATACACTTGCATTCTGTGTGTGTGTTGTTCGTGCTGTCTCTACCATCGACAATAAAACATGTCTTCTGTCTGAATGAAAGACGCGATCCCAGACCATGTCATCTTCTTCAAAGCTATACCCGATTTTTTTTCTAAGTAGTTGATAAAAATGCTTATTACCACATACAAGTTGTATCATAATACATCATTTAATTGAAAACTCGAGGTCATTGATTCAGCTGTGTAAGAATTACAAGCAGTGAAAAGTGCTGAGTAGAGTCTGAGCGGGCCGCTCTTTCTCCTCCGCTCACAGAACGAGCAGCGAACAGCCTGCGTCCTCTAGCCTCTACAGCCTGCGTCCTCTAGCCTCTACAGCGCTGCTAAAAACTAGGGCTTCCACTTCAAAATTCGAATATAATTCTAAAATAAAAAATGATGAAAAAAATTATTGAATAAAAAAATTTGAACAAATATTAGACAACCCTTGTAATTCGAAATGTATTGAATGACTGCAAATAAAATAGTTAGCTCCCAAAGGTTTCACCGGGACGTGCTAGGCAGGTAACAGCTAAGCTAGCTAGTTGTTTCATGGTAACTTCCGGGTTTTTCGCAATCGCTTTTTGTCACATTGAAACAGTATTTTTGTCATGAAAACGTTAACAGCAAATTCTGAAATCATCCGTGCATGTGTGTTAAGGATGTATATGTGTACTGTATTGTCCGATTGACGTTTAATGGTGTTGATTGATTGATATGTATTTGTTTATTGAGCGTGGCTAGCTCCGCTAGCTTCTCTACACAGACAAGTGTGCAGAAAACTGCACAATGTAGTGACAGGCGCTGATAGCTTGTTGTACTTGCAGAATAATGGCAGTATTTTACACACCTGAATTACAGACAGAGGTTGCATTGGGGCTTCGGTCATTATTGGTTTGAGAGTTCTGTTATCAAGAAAAATGATCGGAAGAATTGCTGCTGCTGCTTTGAGTAGCTCTATAACAAATTATAATTAAATATTAGAATATATTCTAAGGTTTTAAATTAATACATTAGGACGCAAAACTAGCGGTATTCTTTTACTTATATATTGTGTTAGCAGTGCGTTGCTTTAGTGCCATTTCATCAGTGATTGTTGCACATCTTACAAGAAGTTGTGCTAATGCTAATGTTAGCATATGTATCAGATCGCAAATAAAACTAGATGGCTCTGTGTTATGAGAGCGTAGGGGAAATGAGAAGCCATTGAGCGAGTTGGGGGGCGGTGCTAAACATTCAAACATTGCAGAAACGGGTATAGCGCCTTTAACACACCACACACGGCAGGAAAATCCATCTGATTTTTTTGTTACGATATTCGGAGCGTTCTTAAGATTGTCGTAGGGGTAAATCGGGTCCAAAATCAGCCTAATTATCCTGCCGTGTGAACCAGGCTTAAGATCAACTGCCGAGAGGACACATATGCGCAACAGTTCAGGGGAGAAAGTCACACCGAGCCAGTGTCTGGTTTGAAGTATCAAGCTGTCGTCTCGGCCTGATGCCAAAAGCCTATCCATGACTTTTTTTCAATTATTCAGGTACTTATCTCCGTCCACAGAGGTGTCTGTCTGCCCGGCTGGGGGTTACCAACTAAACATGCAACTCTCCCAGACATGGAAAGTGCGATGACTTTCAATTTGGGAATGGCTCAGCTTTGTCACCTCAGCATTTACGTTGATTGGCTTTACTGAATGAAGAGGGGTTTGGTGCAATGTCCATTTATAAAATATGTTTGGTATTTGTTGCCTTGTATATAAGCCATTTCATTTGAGACTGAGGAGACATTGTGGATTCACAATACTACTTTGTTGATGGCTTACTAGGGTACTTCATGTATTCATAGCACTGCAGGTGGTTTTTGTTCCCTTCATTATGCATTAAGCTTGAATCTGCCGGAGCAACATCAGAACAATATTCAGTACTTTGTCACACATCTGTGCACATTTGTCTTGCTTCAACCACAGGAACCGGTCAAGAACAGGCTGTTCTCCTTCTATAGGCATTGTAAGCGCTTGACAGAGGGAATTCTAATTTGTGCTTTCCTGGACTAGAGTGTTGCTGGGGGTTTAGCCACTAGGTATGTGCAAATGAAAAAAGATCAGTGCCACAAAACTAAGTTTGTTATAAGGTGTGACCATTGTGAAGCTCAAGCGTCTATATATATTTGATTGAAACTGTACATATGAACATTCAGAGCAGTTACAATGTAGATGCTAATTTCATATTTATACTCAAATTAATTCCAATTAATTTTTTGTCGCTGTTGTCCCAATATGTTGTTGACCGTTGCATTAAAGTGTGTCTCTGCCCCTTTGCCCTGTCTATTCACAAGCTGTTGTAGTTATTTAAGCACAGTGGCCTCTCTGCTGGCCAAAACATAATCAGGAACATATGTATTGTTCATTTAAATTTTTCCCCCACAAATATTTATTAAATATAAGCCGATGACAGTGGACCCGGAAAAAGAATTATTCAATGCTAATGTACGTATATTCTTACCTCTTTAAAACAGCTTTACAGGATGGTCCAAAAGTCAGCTCTTGGCCCAAAGCTCCATTCCACATGTGTGTAAATGCTGAGTGGAGTAAATTTTTTTTGGACCAGTCTAGTTTAGCCGCTGTGAAATTTTGAAGGCACTCATCAAATGAATGGGGCTCGTACCAGCTGACTCATGCGTAGATGCATTTTTTACACACTTTCCAGCCCCCGAGGCCATTTTGAAAATGCCCATAGATGGTAAAAGTGGTGGCACATTAGTTTGAACGGCGGAGATAGTCGTGACTACTGTATGTCCGTTAATATTTACAGTCTATGGTTTACTTTTCATAGTTTTCCTATGCTGGTTGCGCAGCTTCCATCCTCAGGGTGACATTTGGAGGGCTGGCGTTAGTTTTTCAACATTGCAGGCCCATGGTAGCTTAAAATGAATGAAAATAAAACGAATTAAAACAAACCATGCAAACACACGTCCTGCCTATTTTAAACTTATCGCTCGGATAATTTTTGTTGAAACAGGGAACAGTGTAGTTGGACTTTCTGACAATGGAGACAGTTTAATGCAAAGCTAGTGTAGATCGCTGGGGTAGGGCATCACTGCAGGCGTAGGTCTGAAATGCATGGCCCGCCACCGCATAAGCACCACACACCTGGTGCTGGTGGTGTCTATCCATACTAAATGGTCATATGGAGTGATTTGAAGTCCAAAGTAAAAGGTGTTTCATTTTGTTATTGTTAATTAATGAGGTATTTATTCATTTATCAATCAACTTTTTCTATCAATCAACCTATTTTTTACTTTTTCTGCACTCCAGCACACCAGTGAGAGACTAAAATACACATTCCTACCACAGTAGTTTGTGACCTTGTTACATAAGTTAACAAGGATGCGGTGGCAGCAGTTTTAGCAGAAACCTACACTTCCCTTAATGCAAATACTTTGTCCATGACATCCGGGGGAATCCCAAGGCATTCAGTCGGCATTCATCCGTTTGCTCTGCCATACGGTTACTAAACAAAGGTTACATACACAGCTACAGATAAGCAACAGAAAAGACCTTGCACATACAGTATTTAAGAGCAAAATTACAAAGACATTGTTTGCTCATCCATGTTTGATTTTAGATGGGGGGTCTCTCTATAATCCCCTGACATGTTCACTTCAGCTCACATGCTCCCTCTAGCACTGCACTGCAGATCTGTCCATGGCACAGAAGCACAGAGATGCCAGCTGAGACCACACTGTGCAAAAACAGCCAGCATCCAACCAGGTTTACAAACACCGTCAGATACCAGAGCTTCATGGTAAATACTCTGTGTTCATCAGATTTATGGGATTAAGCCATTTCATCCATGGATGTATTATATTAACT